CGATGGACTGTTCCTGCCATTCTCATGCCTGGAGCTGGTCTATGGGCATGATGATGTCAGGAACAATCCATTCACCAGACTGCTAGCTTACAGGGGGGCAGAAGTGGGGCAGGGACAGGTCTTGCGCTCGGAGGATCGGCAGATTGGGTAAGTATATCACTGCTGTTATCACCCCTAGACAAAATGAGCAGTTAGCCATGTAGTGCACTGCATGGTACAAAGCATTTTTGACCAGAATTCTGTTTTAAAATTGGCTAGGCAGACCATAGGTGATGCAATTTTCTTTCCTGAAGTCACAGCAGGGTGCTCGATTGTGTTGATGGGGGAATCCCCCCCTAAGAGCTAGTGTGTTCTCCCGGAGGTGGTGGGGTTACGGGGGGGGGGGGGAGACCTTTCCTGCTGGGAGAGCACAGTGATTACTGCTAGTAGCTATAGCCACTGGTCATACTCACATGTAAAAATCTGACATGCTGATTGTACCCAAGTCGTACAACAATCGTCTTGGGTACAATCAGCTTGCCCATAGATGGTTTGAATCTCAGTCGGTCCCTGCTGAAACAGCTGTCTTTTGTTGGTTGTTTTTTACTATAGATAACAAGCATACATATTTATGCCCCTTTGTAAATTAAGAGGACATTATTGGCTGGAAAAAAAAAGAAAGCAACATATAAAAACTTGGCATTTACTGTATACTAATTAGGGAAAACAAACTAAAACCACTCTTAAACATAGAAAATAAATAATGATATATTTCTCAAAATACCCAAGAATAAATTGTTGGTATACTTTCATTGTATGTATAGATAAGATCCTAATTTGGTTTCTCTTCATATAAAATTGTAAACATTGATTCTTTCAAAAGGTAATTATTATTAAAGCATAAGTAAGTACCAAAGGAAAACACATTTTTTTCCTAGTTTTGGATAGAGTGGAGAGGGATTAGAACATTAGATTCACCCTCTCTATTAGTCCTGTTTACCATTATCATTGAAAGTGAAAGTAAAAGAAAACCCCAAATATTGGGTTGTCCCCTGAAAAGGTAATAGAGGGGAAATCTTCCACTACTTCTGGTGACCTGGGGTCCCTAAAGGATTCCCTTAATTTACAGGGATTTCCTCTCACTTCCTGTTTTATCAATGGGGCAAGAAGTGAAGTTAAATTTCCCCAATGTCAAAAATGCCAAAAAAATCTGACAGGGGTTATAACCCTCTCTTACTTTATCCAAAATGAAAAAAAATGTTTTTTTTGCCTGTAGCTCTAGTTTAACCTCTTCATGCTGATGGTATGCAAATATGCGGCCTCTCATGGGCTGTGCTTAGAGCGTGCGCCCTGTGTGTTCCCAGCACGTGTTTGTGTCCAACTAAAAGGTCCCATCTCTCCTTGCGATCGGGACCTTTCCGGTCATGTGACTGTCGTGACAGCCAATCACGGTGATCACATGACCATAAACCCTGCATCACCTCCTGGCGTTAGAAACCCCTTAAAGGGCCAGGAGGCACCGGTGTGAAGGGGTTAATCTCAGTCGAGCAGGCCCCTACATATTACATCTTATATTAACCATTGCTGCCTGGTAGAGTACAAACAACAACCTAACTAAATATGAAAACCTTTGTTTGTAGTATGTTTGTCACACTACATATATTAGTATACACAAGTGTAAGGGAACTTGCACATTTTAATTTAAAGGTTTTGCTATATATTAATGATTGTTGTACGTATAGCTGTTAAAGATGTACAAGGCACAGCTCAGTAAATATTCTTCAAATAGAACAATACACTGTTGTTAAACCCTGTAAGATGGGTGGAACCACATTATTACAAATTGGCACTGAATAGAATTTAGAGCTTTACCCCGCAGGAGCTGCTGCTGCTGATAGTTTCTCTGTTCTGCCATGACTCTTAAAGCTGCTTGGTCCCCACTAGGGGCAGACTGACCATTTGGAAGCTCGGGCACTGCCCGAGGGCCTGAGGTCAGTAGGGGGCCCCATGAGATGCCCCTGGTACCTTTTTCATATGCTTTTTTGAGTTTGGGCAAGGACACAGGGGCCCCATGATCCCCTATTGCCCGGGGCCCCATGAGTTGTCCGTCCGCCCCTGGTCCCCACTGACACACCCCGACTATAGGTAGAAGGCCGCTTGCCCCTGTGTAACTTACCATTAGTATATTATGAGTCTATATCAACACATAGAAAGTAAGCCACAAACTACGGAACGGTAGACTAATTATTTATGCTAGTGCTACATGCAACAGTTCAAGCTCAGAGATGCTGGCTGTTATGGAGTCGGCACCTGCCAGCATCCTAGCAACCAGTGACTCATCCCTGCCTTGCTCATTCAGCTGTCAGACAGGGATTCTGGTGACAGATGAATATAAACAAAGGAGCAGGGAAATGTTAAAATAAAAATCCTCACAATCCATATGTGACGGAGGTGTGGGTGGAACAGAACACACACGGAGAGCAGGAGTACACACAAGGCTTTTATTGAAAGGCAGGGATAGCAGAGTTCTGGAAGGCAAAGGGCCATGTCTGCAACATGGGGCTGGCACACAGCAGGGATAGCAGAGTTCTGGTGAGCAAAGAGTTAAATTCGTAACACAAAGCTGAACACACTACAGGGATGGCAGGACTCCAGCAGACAAAGGGTTAAGTCCGTTACATAGGCTGGACACAAAGCAGGGATAGCAGAACTCTGACAGAAAAAGGGTTAAGTCCATAGCACAGGTTGGGCACACATCAGAGATGGCAGAGTTCTGGCAGGCAAAGGGTTAATCCGCACAAGGAACTGGACACACAGCAGGAATGGACAGGGATCCAGCACAACAGGGGCTAAGTCCTTGGCACAGGGTGGCACTCTAGCACAGCAGAGCTTAGTCCAGAATCAAAGAGCAACAATCTGGGCCCAGAGTGGCAGACACAAACTAGTACAGCACAGTCCAGGTGCACAGAGCAGCAATTCAGGGACTCAGCAGCAAACAGTGGCCTCAGCAGAGGAAGTCTAGGCAGAGTGGCATGGAGAAGGAGGTCCAGAGGGCAGAGGACCTTCACCAACTCATCACGGGTCTTTGGACGGCTGTGTATCCTGGCTACAGCTTCAAGACCACACAGGCAACAGTTGACAGTAGAGCAGAGGGTAGAGGAAAGCCCAGCATCTAGAAAGCCACACAATGCAGAACTACAAGTCGCAGCAGTGCAGAAAGCAAAGCACAGCCCATACAGACTTGTCTGTCTCAGCAGTTCAATGCATCTTCTAGCGAGACCTTCAGCTATGGGTTCCTTTGTCCATCACTGACTTAAGCTCTGAACGTTCTCCCAACATAGATACATTATATTGTCCTTTCAATTTGACCAAACCTCAAGCCCCTGATGACGAACGTCTGGCTTCTCTCAGCTGCAGGACACCGTGCTGTCTGTGCTTCCCGCTGACTTCATCTCCCACCCCCTGTGGGGCACAGGAACTCATAGATTTAATTAAGCAGACAGGCTGACTGCTTGACATACTTGTGGATTTCAACAAAACAACACAAAAATAAAATAACATGTCTGCTCTCCATCACACCATACAAGACACTTTGGTTCAGGTATGAATTTAAAGGTGGACTCAATGCCAAAAAAGACAACAAAAAAGACATAAGATCCCCCCCCCCCCCCAAATTCTATACCGGACCCTTATCCCATCAGGCCAGGAAAGGGGGGGAGAGCATGCGCCCCCCCCTCCAAAAGTATACCAGACTTATTAGAATCTGAAAGTCCTCTTATAAGGAGGTCACCCAAAAGCACCCCCCATGTGAAAGAGTATGAGGTACATAATACCCATTCACAATAAAACAAGGATGTACCCTAAAAATAAAAGCAACCACGTTTAACAAGTCCTTTTTTAAAAAAAATTTGAAGAATGTCCCACTTTGTACATCCATCATGTCGTCCAGCAATGCAGGTTCACATTCAGTCACAATGTGCCTAATAGAAAAAAGCCTGACCCCTACCAAGAAACAACCTATGCCGTTGCTTTCTTTGTGGAAAATTACATCTCTGAGTCCCCATTGCTATAGTAAACAAAAAGGCGGGGTCACTCAGGTGATGTCATTGGCAAAATATGGACATGGCTTTACAGAGGATATTACAACTGTTGTGGAAAAGTATCTATTCAGACACATGAGAGTGTTCAGTGTGAAATGTTTTTCTAGAATTATTCATTTTATACATTGATTAAATAGCAAGTGGCTAGATTACAACTTATTTGACAAATGTATTTTATTGTGCTGTTCTATTTTTTCTTTAATTACCGCATAAACTGATAATGAATTGACATTTTCAATATCGCATGTAATATTTGGAGTAAACGAGTCACATGATCTAAATATTGCATGCGATATTGCTTTGTGAATTGAGCCCATGAAATAAGAAAAACCTTTCCAATTGGACACAGACAGCATAGAAAAATTTAGGCTGATGGGTTTTTAGCTCTTCTTTACTCTATCCAAAAGTTTACTTTTCCCCTGGAATCCAGAAACCAAAATTGTTGGGGTTTTAATGTTCCCAAACACGCCCTGATCATTGCCGGTAAATCTTGACTTTTTGTTTCATCCAATCCCCTCATTGAGGAAATAGGATTCAGTATTGTAACATTTCCAAAACCTGGTACTTACCACTGGTAAAAATTACCACTGGCAATGCATATCCAGTTACAGAAAGGGACATTATGAATGTGGTACCAAGTTCCCACCTGGAAGTGAGGAAAATATGACCTGTGTGGCCTCCGAATATCGGGAACTATGACTGTGACTATGAAAGCATCAGTAGTTTCAGAATACTAGTAATGGTATTATTTTGTGCTAAAGAAACTCAAGCTGAGAAAGCTGATTGCAGCAGTGTGAAATATTTGTATTTGTCCTTCAATTCTAAGTTAAGAGGAATGGAATACAATTATTATTTATAAGCTGTATTATATATTATATGAAATAAATATAAAAGTTATTGAGTTTCTTTTTCTTCTGACTATGCTTACAATGGCAGCTATTCTATCCGTCACTCTATAAGCATGCCAGCAATGAGGTAACTATACCATTATCTTGCATGATTCTCATTGCTACTTGTGCTTATTCTGTTGTATTCAATTCATTCCACATGTTCATAGTAATCCATCATATGTTTTATAAAAGGATACAGCTATCTCCTGGTACTATATCTGTTTGCCTTTTCTTTTCATTCACATTCTATAATTACTGATATTAAAGTGAATCTGTGAAACGCCTAAAATGCTAAGTTCGCTTGAAAAAAAATACAAAAGTGTGTGTGTGTGTGTGTGTGCGTGCGTGCGTGCGTGCGTGCGTGTGTGTACCTCTATTTAACCACTTGCCCTCCATAGGATTTACTGCCCCTTCCTGACCAGGCCATTTTACTTTTTGCAAACATGTCCAGTAAAATAAAAATTTTCATAAATTTACACCAAAATGTATTCTGCTACGTCTTTGCTAAAAAAAAATCCCAATACATGTACATTAATTGGTATACGTGAAAGTTATAGTGTTGACAAATGGAGGTATACAGTGGGGCAAAAAAGTAGTCAGCCACCAATTGTACTCCCACTTAAAAAATGAGAGAGGCCTGTAATTGGCATCATACAGTAGGTAGACCTCAACTATGAGAGACAAAATGAGAAAAAAATCCAGACAATCACATTGGCTGATTTGGAAAGAATTTATTTGCAAATTATGGTGGAAATTAAGTATTTGGTCACCTACAAACAAGCAAGGTTTCTGGCTCTCACAGACCTGTACCTTCTTCTTTAAGAGGCTCCTGTGTCCTGCACTCATTACCTGTATCAATGGCACCTGTTTGAACTTGTTATCAGTATAAATGACACCTGTCCACAACCTCAAACAGTCACACTCCAAACTCCACTATGATGAAGACCAAAGAGCTGTCGAAGGACACCAGAAACAAAATTGTAGACCTGCACCAGGCTGGGAAGACTGAATCTGCAATAGGCAAGCAGCTTGGTGTGAACAAATCAACTGTGGGGGCAATAATTAGAAAATGGAAGACATACAAGACCACTGATAATCTCCCTCGATCTTGGGCTCCACGCAAGATCTCACCCTGTGGGGTCAAAATGATCACAAGAACGGTGAGCAAAAATCCCAGGACCACACGGGGGGGACCTAGTGAATGACCTGCAGAGAGCTAGGACCAACGTAACAAAGGCTACCATCAGTAACACACTACGTTGCCAGGGACTCAGATCCTGCAGTGCCAGACGTGTCCCTCTGCTTAAGCCAGTACATGTCCGGGCTCGTCTGAAGTTTGCTAGAGAGCATTTGGATGATCCAGAAGAGGATTGGGAGAATGTCATATGGTCAGATGAAAGCAAAATAGAACTGTTTGGTAGAAACACAACTCGTCGTGTTTGGAGGAGAGAGAATGCTGAGTTGCATTCAAAGAACACCATACCTACTGAACATCATGCTTTGGGGCTGTTTCTCCGCAAAAGGACCAAGACGACTGATCCATGTACAGGAGAGAATGAATGGGGCCATGTATCGTGAGATTTTGAGTGCAAACCTCCTTACATCAGCAAGGGCATTGAAGATGAAACATGGCTGGGTCTTCCAACATAACAATGATCCCAAACATACCGCCCGGGCAACGAAGGAGTGGCTTCGTAAGAAGCATTTCAAGGTCCTGGAGTGGCCTAGCCAGTCTCCAGATCTCAACCCCATAGAAAACCTTTGGAGGGAGTTGAAAGTCCGTGTTGCCCAGCGACAGCCCCAAAACATCACTGCTCTAGCGGAGATCTGCATGGAGGAATGGGCCAACATACCAGCAACAGTGTGTGCCAACCTTGTGAAGACTTACAGGAAACGTTTGACCTCTGTCATTGCCAACAAAGGATATATAACAAAGTATTGAGATGAACTTTTCATATTGACCAAATACTTATTTTCCACCATAATTTGCAAATAAATTCTTTCCAAATCAGCCAATGTGATTGTCTGGATTTTTTTTCTCATTTTGTCTCTCATAGTTGAGGTCTACCTATGATGCCAATTACAGGCCTCTCTCATCTTTTTAAGTGGGAGAACTTGCACAATTGGTGGCTGACTAAATACTTTTTTGCCCCACTGTATATACTGAGTTTAATTTTTACTAGTAATGGCAGTGATTAGCGACTTATAGTGGGGCTGCGGCAGACATTCTGACACTGGGGGGAACTGACTAACTGTCACTGACATCCCCAGTAACAGCAATACAGTGATCAGTGCTAGAAAAAAAAAAAAAGCACTGACACTGTACTATTGGCACTGGGCAGGAAGGGTGTCGTGTGAGGGGTGATCAAAGGGTTAACTGTGAGCTGGGAGTGTTTTACTAGGGGGCGGGGTCAGTGTGCTTCACTGTAATCACACTGCTTTGGATGGCAGGTAGCACGTGCCCCCTACCCGGAAATGCAAAATCACATATACAGGTCCATATATATTCGGACACAGGCACAATTTTAGTTTTATTCAGATATTTACCAAAACATATTCAAGCTATAGCTATATAATGGATATGGGCTGAAAGTGCACACTCTCAGGTTTAATTTGATGGTATGTACATCCAAATTTGAGGAAGGGTTTAGGAATTACAGCTCTTAAGATTAGCCATCCCCCTTTTTCAAGGGACCAAAAGTAATTGGTCAATTGAATATAATCATAAATAAAAAAAAATCATTTTTAATAGTTTGTTGAGAATCCTTTAGTGGCAATGACTGCCTGATTTCTGGAACCCATGGACATTACCAAAGACTGGGTTTCCTCCTTTCTGATGCTTTGCCAGGCTCTAACTGCAGCTCTTTTCAGTTGTTCTTTGTTTGTAGGTCTTTCTGCCTTTAGTTTTACCTTCAGCAAGTGAAATGCATGCTCAATTGGGTTGAGATCAGGTGATTGCCTCGGCCATTGCAGAATATTTCACTTCTTTTCTTTCAAAACCTTTTGGGTTGCTTTTGCAGTTTTTTTGGGATCATTGTCCATCTGTACTGTGAAGTGCTGTCTTCTGTCACATCATCAATAAACAATGACCCAGTGCCACTGGAAGCCATGCATGCTCGTGCCATCACACTGCCTCCACCAGGTTTTACAGATGATGTTGTGTGTTTTAGATCATAAGCTGTTTCAAGCCTTCTCCACACTTTTTTCTTCCCGTCATTTTAGTACAGATTAATCTTAGTTTTATCCGTCCAAAGAATGCTTTTCCAGAACTGGTCTGACTTTTTTAGAAGTTTTTTGGCAAAGTCTAATCTGGCTTTTCTGTTCTTCAGGCTTATGAATGGTTTGCACCTTGTGGTGAACCCTCTGTATTTGTTCTTGTGAAGTCTTCTCTTGATTGTAGACTTTGACAATGATACCCCCCTCCACCTCCTGGAGAGTGTCCTTCACTTGTCTGAATGTTGTGAATGGGTTTTTATTTACCATAGAGAGGATCCTGCAATCATCCACCACTGTTGTCTTCCTTGGACGTCCATGCCTTTTTATGTTGCTGAGCTCACCAGAGCATTCTTCTTTTTTCAGAATGTACCAAACTGTTGATTTGGCCACTCCTAATGTTGCTGCTATCTCTCTGATGGATTAGTTTTGTTTTTGAATCCTTACATTGGCCTGTTTCACTTGCATGGACGGCTCCTTTGAACTAATGATGTAGGTTCTCAGCAATAGATTCAAAATGCAAATACCACACGTAGAATCAACTCCAGACCTTTTACCTGCATAATTGATGACTAAATAATGAAGGAGTAGCCCACACCTGGCCATGAAACAGCTTTTGATTCAACTGTCCAATTAATTTTGGTCCCTTGAAAAAGGGGGGACAGCTACTCTTAAGAGCTGTGATTCCTAAACCCTTCTTCCAATTTGGATATACGTAACCTCAAATTAAACCTGAGAGTGTGCACTTTCAGCCCATATCCATTATAGAACTAAAGCTTGAATATGTTTTGTCCATACATGAAAAATCTAAAATTGTGCCTGTGTTCAAATATATATGGACCTAACTGTATATATGTGATTTTGCGCACCCATGCCGCCCTGTAGGAGTATTTCTGCTATAGGGCAGTCGGGAAGTGGTTGATTCATTTACAGATCTCTGTGCCACAGCAATTTCAAAAACAGCTACTGCAGGAGAGAAGAACCCCTGCACACTTTCAAAGGGGTCGCTCTAGGCTTGGGTGGGGAGTTTGCTTAACAAGTTACACCCTAAATATGGGTGTAGCATGTTGCCAAAACTGGAGTTAGCTTTTAATGAAATTTAAACCAAAACAATGTTAAACTTTGAAATTTAGTGGAGAGGGTTTACCACTTCTGTAATGTTTTATCATTTGTGAGCCTTATGGAGAGCTGTCCTCTCACTACGATCTCAGTGACCACACAGGAACTGAAGGTAATTTCCCTAAAGGTCACAGACAAAAATAAACACTAACAGCAATTAGAACCATAATACATTCTACTAAACAATGAGCACTCACTGCTGTGTCCCTGTTGAAAAGATTCCCCTCACTTCACATCTCAAAGGATTGGATGTAAAGAAAAATCTCTCCAGCTGGGGTCACGGCATTACTAAAAAACCCTGAAGGTTCTTACAGTTCCTCACTCTATGCAAAATTAGAAAAAAAGATGTTTTGGCTGGTTTTTGGCTTTAAACATTCTACTGTAGTCCAGGGGTCTCCAAACTTTCTAAACAAAGCGGCAGTTTACTGTCATTCAAACTTTATGAGGGCCGAACTGTGGCCAGTGGGAGTAAAAAATGTCCTGTTACTAAAGGGAAAAAACAATACTGCATCATTGGTATTAGGGAGAGGAACAGTGCCCCGTGGTTGGTGCCAGTGTAAGGAACACTGCCCCAAAGGCCTGATAATGGAAGGCAAAGGGCCCCATCTGGCCCCTGGGGCATAGTTTGGAGACAGTTGTTCTAGTCTGTAGTTGCAGAAGGCATCTGAAAATGTTTTCATGAATACCCAACATAACTTGAATGAAACAGGCCTGGTCAGACACCCCCCTCTCTTCCAGAGCAATATACTTGTGATGAGAGGCGCAGTTGATATTCTCTATGCCAACATAGAGCACTAGGTTCCGAGGGCAGAAAGTGAATTTACACTAAGACAAAAGCTATTTTAAGGTATCTTAAAGTACATATCATAATGGTGTTACATGACTATAAAAGGGCCCTACTCTTTCGAAAAATCCAGGTGTTATGACTATTATGAGATTTTGAGTATTAAGCTTAAGAAAATAGGGATTGTAAAATAAATAATATCTAGGATAAGATGTCTGTATCATAAAATCAACTTTGGTAAATGATTATATGTAAGTTATATTTTTATATTTTACCCATAAATTGGTGTTTATGGTCCTTCCAGCTTTTCATATGTAAAATTAAAAAAAAAACAATGCACCGACTGAAGCAATACTTGCTGCTGACACACATTGAAAACAACTGAAGTAGAAAGGAAGATGTGACTTATTAAGCAACTTATTCAAATAAATTACTATGTACCTCGCTTCGGTGATAAATAAGACAAAAATACATGCTAATGGCACCATTCACCTCCACAGCCTTAGTCAACGTAATTGTGCTCTGTGGGTTTAATTTCCTGTGGCACTGCATTTAAATTTAGAAATGAAAGAAAAGCTTTGCTGATCAATTGCCGTACCCATGTAGGGCGCCTTTTCAGCTGTTGTTGACAACACCAAGTCTACAATACATTCCCTCTAAGCAGCAATGTTTCAAGAGTAAATGGAAAACATCTGAAGAAATGCTGGAGGCCCTGGGTCAGTTAAGGCCTAAGTTGATGGGCACAGTGGCATCAGTTTGAGATGTTTCTGAGATCATTAAAAGATATAACTGACCTGCAGTTGTTCTGCCTTCTGACTTGCATTTCACCTGCATCGAATGGGTTTGCAATCTCCTTGACTTTTATAGAAATGCAAAACCCTCCTATAGAAAACAAAAGACCTAAATGTGTCAGCCACTTGATCCACTCCTTCCCCACACACATCATCCATACATTCAACACACTTATATCTTCCTCAAGCCCATTCCCCTGCCCAGATAGCAGGTCAGTTCGATATTGAATGCTAGTCACAGACTGTTCTAGCAATATGACTTATCTGAGCATTACTAGTGGTGACTGTGTATTGCTGTTGGGCAAAATTGGTGTTATTGAAGTCTGCTCTGACAATTGCAAATATTGTCCACCATGCTGAAAATAAAATTTTAAAATATTCCAAAAATGTGGTCACTACAATGTGTTTGCCTCAAAAAATATTGCTAATTTTATTTTAAAAAAGTTTTTATAAAAAAAAACACTTTATTAAAAAAGTTGTTCACTTTACGGTCACTGGAAATTACAATGGGGCACTCTTTCTATCTGAAAGGAAAGACAATTAACCTCTGCCTTGGTGCACAGTGTTACCATTCAAAGTCTATGACACCCCAATGCATTTGCCTAGGTATGTTTGTTTTTGCGCACACAGCAAAAGAAATTTCCATTTGTGTCAAATTCCATTTAAACCTATGCCTGGAGAGAGTATATAACTGTTTAGAGTAGAAAACTTATTTATTCATTTCTTTTAAGGGGGATATTATAGCTATATATCTTCTGTATTAATCATCTCACATATGCATGTATTTTCCATTGTGTAGGCAACTCTCAGTATGTATTCCTGAGTATTCTTTGCTAAAATCATTTGCATGCACCACAGTCTTTGAGTGTTCACATGTGATAGAAATAGCTACACTTACTGCCTTATGTAACAACACAGAGCAAAGATTGTGCAAAGTGCACAACCTTACTCGTTGACTTCCCAATGCACAACCTAATTAAACACCACAGTGCTGTAACAACTTTTTTGTTTACCTTCCAGAAATTCTCCTACATTCAAGTCTTTTGAGGAACGTGTTGAGAATACAGTAACTTCACTGAAGGTAACTGCATGTCATTCAGTATGATCCACCCATTTACACAGCAGAGCACGGTGTTAAAAAATATCATGAGAGATACTATTGGGTAATTCTGACTGGCTTTGATTTGCTGAAGGGTTTGGACAATCTGGTTCAAAGTTTGACGAACCTGAATTTTGTTTGGAATTCCAATGAAGTTCTATGGAGGGAAAATCCAACTAATATATTATTATACCAGATTTACAGCATTAAGCAGCAACAGTTTGCGCAGCAATTTACAATATAAACGTAGACAGTACAGCTACAATACAATAAAATACAAGTGGGCTAAGAGGCCCTGTTCAAAAGAGCCTACACTCTAGTGAGGTAAGTGGTAGAAAAGGTAACAACTGTGAGGGATGGGCTCATGAAGGAATTAAAAGTTACGTAGTTAGGTGGAGACAGGATAGGCTTCCCTGAAGAGATGAGTTTTCAGGGATCACCTAAAGGTGACCAGAGTAGGAGATACAGAGGACAGATTAAGGTAGAGAGTTCCAGAGGATGGGAAAGGCACTGAAGAAATCCTGGAGATGAGCATGGGAGGAGGAGACAAGACAGGTAGATAGCAGGCGGTCTTGGGAGGATGGTTTGGGTGACATTTTGAGACAAGATTGGTGATGTAGCTCGGGGCAGAGTTGTGAATGTACTGAATGTTGTTAGTATTTTAATTGAATTTGCAGGGAAATTGGAAGCCAATGGAGGGATTGACAGAGAAGGGAGGCAGACAGTGAGCAGTCGGGAAGGTAGATGAGTCTGGCAGCAGCATTCATGATGGACTGAAGGGGAATAGCCTGCTCAAAGGTAGGCCTAAGAGAAAGGAGTTGCAATAGTCAAGGTGAGAGATAACAAGGGAGTGAATATGTAGCTTGGTATTTCATTAGTTAAAAAGGGGCCAATTTTAGAGATGTTACAGAAGTGAAGTCTACAAGCTTTTAACAGTGATTGGATTTGGGGCTGAAAGGACACGTCAGATTTTAGGATTACACCTAGTACCCAGGCATGAGGGGAGGGACTGATAGCTGTATTATTGATCCTTAAGGAAAAGTCAAGGAGGAGGGCATGGGTGGAAGTTAATATTAGATGCTTAGTTTTAGAAAGATTTAGTCTGAGGAAGTGGTGTGACATTAGTAATGCAAGAGGAGTCTGAAGGAGTGAGGTGAGGAGTAGAGAGATAGATTTGGGTGTCATTGGTGTAGAGATGGTATTGGAAGTCATGGGAGTTTATCAAGTGACCAAGAGAAGAGGTGCAGATAGAGAAAAGAAGGTGTCCAAGAACAGAGTCTTGGGGGACCCCTACTTAAAGAGGAAGTGGAGAGGACTAGACAGGGTTGTAGGTAACAAATGAAGAAGAGCTGAAGGAGATAGGAAGACAACCAGTAATGAGCATAATCTTGGAGGCCAAGGGAGTGGAGTTTATTGAGGAGAAGTGAGTGGTCCACAGTATCAAAGGCCAAAGAAAGGCCTAGTACTAAGAGCATGGAGTAGTGGCTTTTGGATTTAGTAGTTCGTAAATCATTAGTGAGTTTGAGTAGAACAGTTTCTGTGGAATGCTGTGAGCAAATACCAGACTGTATGAGGTCAAGAAGGTTGTTTTCAGTGAGGTAGGAGCTCAGACAGTTGTAGACTAAGAAATATCAAGGGATAGTTGCGAGCGCTCTTGAAAGCTGCTATGCGCTAAAGGTAACCAATAAACCTCAAACAGACAAAATAAAATAAAGTGCAGCGCTAAAAATAGATACAAGTAAGTATAAAAAAAATATTCCAAATAATGCAATATGAGTACAAATAGTTCATAGAATGACTGTTAATGTGAACAGGAATCCTGTGTTCATCTAAAACTCGATGCTTGTGCAGTCAAAAATGAGGGGATTGCGCACTCACCGGAACGCATAGTAAAATGCGCATTAATGTATAAATATCCTGATGTCATCAAGGTCATCCAGATCTGGACAGGAATGAAGTGAAATCCCTCACTGGATGGGTCTGGATCCTGAAGCTTCTGTTGTATACTGGGAGGGTACCAGAGATCCCTTTAAGGGATGGACGGGTCAGCTAACCAGGTGTACAGAGGCTCCCTCTCTGGATACTGGGTATCTGAAAAATTAATCGTCCCCGGGGAGTTAAAGCAAAGAGATCTCCATAGTGTAGTAAGACTAGTTTATTAGGGGTAAAAACATCCAGACAGTAACAGCAGGTATCCAGGTGAGATAACAATCTGTGTGTATCATAGGTATTTGGACTGACTGTCCTGAGTTAAAGATGGCTGCCGGAGCTCCACGTAGCTCTGGCGGCATGACGTCACGGCGTTATTGGCTCCTCCAATAGCCAATAAGGCTAAGTAAGTAAGTTTTTTATACTTACTTGTATCTATTTTTAGCGCTGCACTTTATTTTAGTTGTAGACTAAGCATTGTAAATGTTTACAGGTAAATGGGAGCAAGGAGATAGATCTTATGTTATTCAGGTTGGTGGAGTCCAGTGAGGGCTTTTGAAATATGGGTTGATCACTGCATGCTTTAGAGGTGTGGGGAAGGTGCCAGTAGAAAGGGGACAACTGAAGATGTGAATGAGAGACCATAGGACAGAAGAAAAGGGTGACCATAGTAGTTGTGAGGAAAACATGATCCAGGAGATAGTTGGTTAGGTGGGCATCTGAGAAAAGTGTGATTACCTATTCAGTAGTAGCCAGTTCAAAAGAGGAAAGTATTGAATGTGCTGTTAGACAGGGTATGATAAGTGGGGAAGATATCTATACAATGGAGATGTCCTCATGAATTGCATCAATCTTGTTTTTGAAGTGATTGGATATCTCTTGAGCAGTGAGAATTCTGTCTACATTTTGGGGTATTGTCAAAGAAGGCCGTGAGCAGCTGAGCACATGGTGGACCTTAGCAATGCAGAAAATATTTTAAAAACATACTGTACAGTAGTGAAGGGCTCCTTTTAATCTGGCTTCGAGGGTGGCATGGGAAACCTCCAATCCTTTAAATTACATGCTTGGGAGTTGCCTTTAACCTATGGTGTTATGGAATAGTGTGGTTTTCACAGATGGTATCAGCGGCACTGTATTGTGGCATCACATACAGTCATGTGAAAGAATAAGTAGACCCCCATATAAATTGTTGAATTTTTCAGCATATCCGAACAGGCAAAAAATATGGATAGACATGAAATAAAAGAAAAGAAAAAACACACTGTAAGGGCAAGCAGTGGTGGTGGTGGTAGTAGAATTAAACAAAAATATGTAGCCCACTGTACTGCAATCCACAGTAAGTTAGTGCAATATAGCACTGTATAGCATCAACTCTCCATACATTAATGGTCAGCTCTCCCTACGCTACTCCAACAAATAGCTGGGAAACTATTCTTTTACAGTGAGAGGCCTGGCACACAACAAAGCCCCCATTTTTGGCTACTGTAACCCTGCTGATCACAGTTAAAAGGTTGAGTAGGGCATTATGGGTCCACTAAAAACTTATCTGACAAAGAGAGGGGAAATTTATTGGACACTGTACCATTTTCAGTTGTGTATACAAAGGTAAATCAAGCAACTAATGCAAATAGTACTGACATAGCTCCAAATGGCTCAAAACTGGTATAGTCCAGAACTAAATGTGAATAAAGCAGCTGGGCCAGATGGCTTACACCCAAGTGTCCTCACAGATTTGAGCTCTGTTTTTTCAAAGTCATTGTTTCTCATTTTTAGAGACTCTTTAATGATTGGCTCGGTACCACTTGATTGGCACAAGGCCAAAGAGTTGCCTATATTTAAAAAGGGATCAAAGTCTTCACCAAATTACCACATACCAGTTAGTTTAACTTCTAAAGTCGGGAAGATACTTAAGAGTTTAATAAACCACATAGAAGAGATTTTTCTCTAGAAAAACAATAATTGCCTGCATGTTCAACCATTCTTTTGTATTTTTGGCCAACTTTATTCTTTCAGCAACTGACATGATTATTAAAGTGTCTGATATAAATGTGCCTGTGTAGCCCAGTGGCTAATAATCAGATATAAACCTGTACTGGTCAGATGAATCTGATTGGTGGGTATCAGTAGATACAAAATGTTCTTACGCCAGATACTTTGATAAATTAAACCCAATATGTGTGCAGCTTGTAAAATATCATACACAGTAAGGGCCATGATCTAAATTCAGAGAAGTAAAATATGATACGCACATTCCTCACCCCAGACACCACCAAACAACTCATACACTCCCTCATCATCTCACGCCTGGACTATTGCAATTCCCTTCTCACTGGCCTACCCAAACGAACGCTATCCCCACTCCAGTCGATCCTAAACTCAGCAGCTAGACTCATCCACCTCAGCAACCGCTCCACATCTGCCTCCCCCCTCTGCCAATCCCTTCACTGGCTCCTGATTGCCCAGCGCATCAAATTCAAACTGCTAACTCTGACCTACAAAGCCATTCACAATGCCGCCCCAAACTACATAAGCGACCTGATACCCAAATACTACCCTACCCGTGCCCTCCGCTCCTCACAGGACCTCCTGCTCTCTAGCTCCCTGGTCTCCTCATCCCACGCCCGATTGCAGGACTTCTCTAGGACTTCCCCCATCCTCTGGAACTCCCTACCCAAATCCATCAGACTGTCACCTACCCTCCTCACCTTCAGGCGCACCCTGAAAACCCTCCTCTTCAGGGAAGCCTACCCCAACCTCACCTAACACCTGACCTCACCTAACAACTAACCTCCTCCACTCCTCCCACCACTCCATCCCCCACAGCCATCTCGTCCTGTGCCACCTTCCCCTCCCTCCTAGATTGTAAGCTCGAAAGAGCAGGGCCCTCGAAACCCTTGTGTATTGTATTGTTACTGTCTTGTCTCATGTTCTGTCCCCCTTGCTACTGTACAGCACTGAGCATACCCTTTGGCGCTATATAAATACTGTATAATAATAATATGAAATGGATAGAAGGTTAAAGATACCTTTTAACCACTTCTTGCACCAATAGAGAAACCACATGGAACTAAATTATGTAAACCATATTCATACTAAGGTACAGATTGTGGAATGCTTGAGCCTTTAACAGATGGTATATGAAAATGTGCATGGGTTTACAGGAAATGTGATTCAAAAAGTAGTACAAAAATGTGAAGGCAATAAGCTATTTCGATGTTACCAAGGAAACCTCTTTCAGAGCTTTACAGAATTACAGTAGGTTTAAACAATGCCTTCATGCACAATAAATAGTTATGTCTTTGGTTTACTCTGGTGGAAAAAATTCAATTTTATCATGCGGTGCACTTACTTATCCTGCTGACTACAACTGTATCTGTATAGCGCTATACATATGATGTAGAGCTTCATTATTTAATGATTCAGTACAATAATATCAATTTTGTATGCATTCATTCTATTGAAATAAATAGTATATATTTAATGTAAAGGCATTTTTTTGGTTTTGGATAGTGTGTGAAAGGGTTAGAACCTCTGTCGAGTCTATATTGCTCTTTGTATTTTCATTGGGGAGATTTACTCTATTCGTCTAGGTAAATATTGACAGGAGACTGAACTAATGATGGCGGTGATCAGCGACTTATAGCGGGACTGTAGGACTGCGGCAGGCCTTCTGACACTGGGGGGAACTGACTTGGTGTCACTGACATCCCCAGTGATACCAATACAGTGATCAGTGCTAAATAAAAGCACTGACATTGTACTAATGGCACTGGGTAGGAAGGGGTTAACATGAGGGGCATTCAAAGGGTTAACTGTGTGCTGGGTGTGTTTTACTAGAGGGCGGTGGGTTGGTGCTTCACTGTAAGCACACTGCTCTGGATGGCTGTGCACAGAGCAGTGTGACCGAGCAGACAGGGAGGAGGACTGTTCATAAACAAAGCAGCCCTCCTCCCCATCGGAGATCCTCAGTAATCTCCGGGTGCCGGCTGGTAATTACCGGCCGGGACCGGTGATAAACAGCAGCGACCGCGAATGGTGGGACAGGTAGGGCCCCCCCCCCACCCGGAGATGCTAAATCACGTATATATACGTAATTTTGCGCACCCCTGCCGCCCTGTAGCAGTGTACCTGCTTTTTATACTTTATCACTCTGGAAGGTTTTATCACCTTCTTGACCAGGCAATTTTTTGCTTTCAGCATTGTGTTTTTTTCACTGGCAATTGCTCAGTCATGCAACACTGTACCAAAATGAAATTTATATCATTTTTTTCACACAAATACTGTAGAGCTTTCTTTTGGTGGTATTTGCTTATCACTGGGTTTTTTCTTTTTTGCTATATATACAAAAAAATACCAAAAATTTAGTTTATAACATTTTGAAAATAAATAATCTTTCTTTATAAATTTAGGCCAAAATGTACTACATTTCTCTGGTAAAAATAATAAGTTTATAAAATTTAGTCTGTGTGAAAGTTATACAGTCTACAAACTATATATATATAAATTTGAAAACGGATCAATCCTGATGTACTGACGGCCTCTTTTTTAATTTCTTGAGGCCCTAAAATGCCAGGACAGTACAAATACACCCCAAATGACAGTCCATGGTATTTAGTAAGAGGCATAACATACTGTCACCAGTGCAGTACAGCAACATCATATGACTGGTGCAACAGTGATCAGGGATACTGACTGGTGAAAGTATGTAAAAAACATAATTTTGTTTTTTTTTTTAAATTCAATTTTTTAAAACTTTTTTTTCATCATAGTGACATTGTACTACTCTAGGAGGATGATCAGGGATTTTTTTGTACACTACTATTGCTTATAACAGTGATGATCACTTCATGACAGCTTGGTTACTATTGTGATGCTGTGATTGGCTACACCTAATCACATGGTACAGGGTGCAAGGTACCATGTGATAGCTGTGGGCCAATCACAGCATCATAACAGCAAGCTTCCATGTATGAAAGCCATTCATGGCAGTTTTGCTTACATTGTAATCATGTGATGACATAATGCTCCGGACGCTTACAGCTCCTGGATACCCAGTGCCTGTGTCCACCAGGGGGCGTACCAGTGTGCATTTGCTAGGTGACATATGGGTATGTCGCCTAGCCTGTAGTTAATGTACTGTGGGTGGGTGGCAATTGGTAAAGAACCATGGAAGCTGTGCCCGAAAAAGGCAGGCAGAGCGCAAACAAGTTACCAGTATTGACTGTGATCTCCCTACAGCTGCATTTTCCACTTTTTTGACTTGCCATGTTTTGTTCAGCACTATGTCTTTGTGGAGATAGCCATCGTGGTGGGGGAAGGGTTTGGAGAACATTGAGCAACACATTAATGTCATCAACAAATATCCCTCCAAATCTCCTGAGACCAGCAGCCGGAGGCAGTAGTGCCTTGGTTCGCACACTACAGATATACAGCTATGTGGCTGTAGACACAGGAGTGCCTAGGCACCCTCACAAATGCTCTGCTATTTTTAAGGAGTAACTTGAGACAAAACTTAAGTTTAAAGTATTGCTTATGCACACATTTTGCTAAATGTTAAAGCCGATCCCCAGCTTTACTCTCACTTTAAATAGTTTGTTTGGGCCAAACTGGTCTAAAATAAACTATTTCCCACACTACCAGGTGAACCCATTGGGCTTGCTGTATAAACTGTATGTAGCCTCAGCCTAAAGCCTTGTGTTGCGGCTTTGGGACGCGAACATCCCATTCCACGTCTGAAACAAAATTGTGTTGGGCTGAGTGGTGCTCATTCATAGGCAGCTTTTTATTTCTAAATAAATACAAAGATTCCTCTGAATGGCTGAGGCGGAGATTGCGTTATCCAGATTAATTCAGAGAACACAAAGCTGCCTATGAATGGCTGAGCACCACTCAGCCCGACTTAGTTTTGTATCCGGTGTAAAATGAGATGGTCACGTCCCACAGACAGAACTGAAGGCTGTATACTATATGTAGCCGAGGCTGCATGTAATTTATATAGCACCCCAGTTGGTGCACCTGTTAGGGTAGGAAATAGTTTGATGGAGCCAAGGTGGCCCAAATGAACTATATAAAATTACAGCAAACCTGGAAATCTGCTTTAACTACAACATAGAAAATCATCATGTTTTGACTTCAAGTATAATGGAGCTTAACACAGGATCTGAGATAACTTAAAAATAAATCAATTGCTCTGCCTGCGTTCCCATATGAAAAATAAAATAGCAGGAATGTACAGACTCCGAAAAATATGACAAAGGATGCATGTAATGCTACAGAATTGTAACTGACCGCAGTTAAAGGAAAACGTTTACTGGATCTTACAGAAAACTCAAGTGTGTAGGATGGAGAAAATAGGATGTGGAAGCTCTGGTGAAAATGAGTGCAACTGCACTTGCAAAGTCTACTTGCCCTTAGTAAATTTACCCCAAAGACAACAAAAGAAAAACAGACAGAGGATTCTAGCCCTTCCTTATGCTTTCAAAAGCTAAATAAAATGTATTGGCTGGAGTTGGGCTTAATAAACATGAAGAAGGGGTGGGTCAAAAAAGGAGTTTTTACTGGTCTTGGGTAAAAAAATATGATTGTTGTGCCTAAGCCAAAACAATTTTGTTTTATATTGATATCAATTTTTAATTGTATTTACCGTTGCAGGCTAAAGTAGGATCAACAAACCAAACCCAAGGAAGCTTTGAAGAAGTTCTGAGCTCTACTGCCCATGCTAGCGCCCAGAGTTCACTGGCTGGCAGCCTTCTGCCTGAAGCTGATGAAGAACTACAGTGATGGCATCTACTAATAATACATATAGCTGCTCAGTCAACACCTTGCCTCTTGCAAAATACTGTCATAAATTCAGAAATGTGTATGTTTGTTTCCCTCCAAAAAAAGTAATGGTGTATAAATTTTTGTTCTGAACCAAAATAGAATAGTGTCCCTAGTATAGGGGACATTGAGTAGTAATTAGATTTAAAATATCTGAAAAGATATCTTCTGAACAGTTGTATTCACTTAATGCACAATTCCACTTGTGATATTACTTGCTTATAGAAAAAGCATGTAATGTTCAGGAAAGATTTCAAACCAAATTCAACTAAGGTATATATATTCCAGATGTATCAGAACAAAAGCTGTTTAATATCTTGACATTTATTGCTTATTCATTGTTCATTCTAAAGCAGCTATAGCCTAAGTAGAACATGTCCCCTGACAGCAGATGCAGAGAGGGACCTTTTCTCTCTGTGGGGAAGCAGTGGTCTTTCTTCAGAGGTCCAGCATTCCCCCTATTGAGCCAGACCTATAGCTCTGCATTCAGCAAAGCTCAAGCAATCAGCTAAATGGAAAGCTCTAGTTCTGACATAGCAAGGGATGTGTAAGAACCTCTGCAGAGAGATCACTGCTTTCCCACAGAACAAGGGCCCCACTCTGCAGCTGATGGCAGGGGTTAGGCTTTTCTACTCTACGCTTCAGGAAAAAAAACAAACCGTTAAACCCGTAGTTAAAAAAAATAAATACAATGTGTGTCTCTTGTGCTGCTGTCTCTTGGTTTAGGTGAAATCTTCCTCCTAGAATGCCCCCTACCCCCACTGCCATAATCTTCCAGTACGCAGTGGCTAACAGAATTAAGGGAGCTGTGACAGGAGTGCTCAGCTATACTTGTCCTTTCCTCTCACCTCTTCCATAGAAACCGTATTACAACTTCTATGAAAGAAATGTGACTTTTGAATGGAGGACAAGCAGATGATTGAAAGGTTCGCCCCCTCATATTTCATTTATAGAGGCTGTAGTATGGCTTCTTCTGTTTTGATGCACCTGGAATATATTTAGCTGATTTAAATGGGTAGTTTTGGCTTTAAAAGCTCATGCCCACAAACAATTAAAATCTGTTGCATAAATGAGGCCTTAAACAATGCATATTCTTGTGCAGTTCATCCTCAACAATGAACTGTAACGCTCACTAACCCTAACAAGTCCTTAGAGAACATTAGATTTAACTATTTGTGTCTGTTAAATGGCTATAAGCCTAAATGATAACAAAAAAATAATAGCAATGATTAAAGGAGAGGTATAGCCATAGCTATTTGAGCCCTACTTCCCCTTGGGATCACAGGAGTGAAGTTTGTTCTGCACTCTTGTGACCTGTTTTCAGTTAGCAGTGGGCTTTACCCCCCACTGTCGGCTGATGTCACATAGCTCATCCAGACTCTGGAAAGATCCCAACTTTAAAGTTGGGATCCGCTAAGATGTCTTGACTGGCAGCTGGCTCAGCCTCTTAGCGAGTTAATAAGAGCCTGAGCCAGCCACTTCTACCCCCTCAGCAGTCCAGCGCTCCAATGATTGCTGGAGGGGCAGAGCAGAGAGCTGGTGACTGCTAGGCACCAGCTCTCTGCTCACTGAAGGCTGAGAACTGAGTGATCAGTGGTCTGCTTGGTTCTCAGTTTTAGAAGTGGTGGGGGACAGATGCAGCATCAGATTGATATTGCAGCCACCTAGGCGAGTATACATTTTATTTCAGCAAACGCATACTTCTCTTTTATTTCCAGTTGGATGAAAAGGCAATAAATGTAAAAGGGTAAGTCTCTGTGATTGCTATTTTTTTTAACTTTAGAAATACATGCTATAAATGGTTTATGAAGATCACAAAAGTTTGGGTGGAGGGGAATAAGGTATATTTGTATCTAGTATTTTACTTTCCTCAGTACTCCTGTTACTCTCATTTTATCTTGTAATAGTCCAGCACTAAACATCACCTGTCCCAATCAATAATATTCCATTACAGCAGTGGCAGCAAATGCAGCATTTTACTGTACGGGCTATTGCCTGGGTGAGGTCTGGCAGGAGAGGTGCAATGCACATTTCAGCACATTACAAGGTTAACTATGTTTTCCCTAACTTTACTTGAAGTGTCAAATAGTGATACTTCATCCATGTCTTGACAGAGCAGTGTGGTGCTTTCTCTTCAGGCACACGAGTTACCATTCAGTTGGCTGTGGAGAATTGCAGCATGTCTGACCAGCATTGTGATGTGAACGGGACACACACACACACAATAGTCCTATGTACCCTAGATGTGAACAGCATTTGTTTGATCAAAAAAGCGCAGGTCACTGCCTATAGTGTAAACGTACTCGAACTCATAAAACGTATTTTAGATACTGCATTTCTATACCTAGTTACCTATTTCTTCCAAACAATTCACAACTGCAATGCCAAACTGAGCCATTTGTTATACTTTGTGTCAATATTTTATACTTTAAATCAGACATAGAATGTAAGAAAGTGCAGGTTAAGTCAAACAGTGAAATGGCATGAGGTGTGCAGTTGTAATGACTCCTTACCCTTAAAATGATCACTGTGTTCTTATGTCCAAGTTCATTGGCAAGTCCTGACATCCATGATATACATACTTTATTTATGCTATAAACCAAGACCATAAAATGTATTATTTTATCCCAGTGATGTGTCAATTTACATTGCTAAAATCTGCTGTTTAACTTTATTCTATATCGTGTCATATTACTGTCTAGGTATGACATCTTTGGCCCTCTAACATGAATCTAGAAACAAAACCTGGTTATGCGACCTTGCAGTGAGTTACAGTAGATGCACCTATAATCTGAAAGCATTCACTCCAACACAGGATTTTAAAATGAGAGCTGATTTTGCCAGACACAGAATATTTCTTTTTTTGGTTTAAAATGTTAGCAAATACAGGGCTACTGTTCATAAGTACAATGTTATAGTGCAAAAATAAGCAAACAAAGATCCTAAGGCTCCATGTACACGGGACACTTCTGAACGATGGAAACTGACTGCTGGAAAACGTAGGTTTAAAAAACGTCTGTTTAGCCACGTTTGCATACCACATTTATGAGCGTTTGCGTTTAGAAACGTTTTTTAAAGATAACTTCAGGAGACCTTCCAAAATGCCCAGAATGCACTGAAAAACAGTAAAAAGTTAACTATTTCAGACATTTTGAGAGAAATAGAGAGAGCAGAAGCAGAGAGAGCAGTATTTGTTGAGATTAGCTGTTTTTTTTTTTTTGTGGTGTTTGGATATGTTCTAGCTGATTTCTGTGCAGAAATTATTGCGGCAATGTCTAACATATTTTCTTTCATGCAAAACCTCAATGTATGGTGTACCAGGTCTATTGGAGTACCGGGAAAATGCTTTCCATGCATTTTTCATGATGAAAAAAGGCTCTGGACAGCATCTGGAAATGGAAGAGTTAAAAAAATGTTTCATACGCATATGCTTATAAATGCAGTTAGCCACGTTTACAAGCGTTTGGCATTTGAAACGCTGATGAAATCTACTCCTGAACGCACGTTTTCTGCGTCCAAAGAAATGACTGTAAACTCAATTGCCTGTAAACAACGATGTGTACATGGACACATAGGAAAACATTAGGGTGAGTTCAGGGGCTGCTGAAAAAAAAAAACGATGAACAGCTCCTAAACGTAAGTTTATCAGCTGCAGTGTACATGAGCCCTTATTTTGAGAGAAATAAACTTCCAGAACACCACAAAGCAGGGATGTAAGGAATCTGTCAATCATCCTGTTTTGAAAAGTAAAATGTTACATTTTGAAGAATTTAAAGGGCTTGCAGTCTCAGTGTCCAGTCCTAGATTTTGCATTATCGTACATGTCCATTAGCAACAAATGCAGAGTAAATTAATACATTTTCTTCTTAAAATCAGTAAGTTATGGAGATGCTTTCTCTGTTTTAAATCAAGAGAAATGCAAAGGATTAGAGGTAGCAACAGCTTTGGAATCTGTTTCTAGGAAGGTAAATTTTGATTACCATCAACTGATCCCAATGAAGAGCAAAGCAAAAGGTTAACATAAAGCACTTGTATTTAGGGTATAACATGTTCCAGCAGCCCCCTTACTCCTGAGCCCCCATATCCTGTGACAGCGAGTGAGTATTCCTCTCCCCTGCAGCCGCTGTCGCATTTAAAACAGGTGCACCTGTGCAGGGCTCAGCTTGCAAAGCTGCATCATTCATTCACAGAGATCTGAGGAAAAAAAAAAACTTTTTTTGTTTCATAAAGGTTTAAACAAATACACATTCTTTCACCTGCAAAATTGTGAGCATTTAATATTTTTTAGTTAAAAAGTAAACCTAGCCTTTAAAGAAATTCTGGCAGCATTGCATCAAATATCTTCCCAGAAAATTGCAGGTGCATTTAAGATGTTTTGTGCATGCTATTTACTTGTAAAAGCTCCATTGTGTAGATATTCAAAATCCCTGAGACTGCTTCTAGGCACCACCTTCTGAGATGTGATGTCAGCAGTGGCCAGAGTGGTCAACTAAGTTACATTCTATAGTATTCTTCTTCACTCTTTCCCTGGAAGAGGAGAAGCAGAAGAGCTTGGCCAGTACAGACAATAATTAGACACTTCCAGAAGACTGTAGAGTTATAGCAAGAAGTGAGGGGGCTGTTCTCATGAATTTACTAGGTCTACTGAGTAAAAAAGATATAGAAAATAAAAATAATTTACAATAATAGGATGATCATGCATTACAGGACACAGGTTTATATAAACCATTATGACTAGGAGATCAAAAAGAAATCAAACTGAGAGGTGGGCAACACAGCAATGTCAACAGGCCCACTTAACAAATGGATTAAGCAGGCTCAACAAGGTTAGAGTAGCTAGTAGAGCCTTATGTTCGAAACTGGCATCTACATCCACCGGGTAGCGTTTAACAAACATGTGAACAGAAGCCCAGGTGAGAAACAGAAGCAAAATATAAGAAACAGGTCCCTGATGCTAAAAA